TTTTTTCCTTTTTTAAGAGCTTCATATATATATTTATATATATAAATTATTAGAATGTGTGTCGGGGCTCGGGAGTGCGTGGGGAACGTCGTTTGGGTGGTTGTTTTCTTTTTCTTTTCCATAGCTGGGTTGTTGGTTGTTTTTTCCTTTAATGGTTAAGTAAATATATATATATATGGGGGACCAATCGAGAGATACAACTGTGAAATCAGAACACGCACGCGGGGGCAAGGGAGTCACAAGTTGCTACATAAAACTGCCACGTCTAATAGGATGTGCATGAGTTAAAGTACATCAATTAGGATGGGTGAAGGGAAAGAGGCAGCCACCATCTTACAGACAGTCCCAGGACGCGGTGTTACCGCTCGGCCACGCCAGCTCTCCCCACTGGGCTCAGAGGGGTCACGGTGGTGACAGCAGTCCCCAAAACAGTCTGCTGGCGCTTTGCACCTCATGGCCGTGCCCGCTCCCATCAGCTGGGGAAAGCACAGCCACCGTCCGTCCTGCAAACAGTCCTGCGGTGCTTTGCACCCCGATGGCTGGGACAGGACCCTCCACAGGCAGGAGAGGCCGCTCAGGAAGGGGCCTGGAACGCTTTGTTTGCATCTGAAGGGATGTTGGGAGAATGGGAAGCTGCTCTGGCTAATCTGAAAAAGTTCCATGTTGCTTTTCTGTATCGCTAAGCAGTATCTTACACCTAAAGGGGGGTGGGGTGTTGAGGAGGCATCTTGAAAAAAGGCTCTTCTGGGTTTGCAGTTATTTCTTGGCTGCACCTCCTCCTTGCAGAAGCAGAAAAGGCAGGAGCATCCTGTACATGAAGTCCTGCAATGCTCTGCACTTTTTATTTAATGCAACTGTTCCCCCAAAACAAAGGATGGAGCTGCTGCCACCCTGAATTCACGTCAGTCTTTTGTCTTTCTGAGCTCTGTGCAATGCCGATTCTCTTTTCTTCAGAGCTCAGCTGAAATCGTGTACCGATCGCTTCAGGTCCATTAGTGGTGTTTCAGTCCCTCCCCATTTTCTCTCCTCCACTTTTCCCAGGATGCCATCCTGTACTTCTTGTCATCATCTCTTGTACTCTACTGCATGGTGGGATCAGGATGTGTCACTTTGCAGCTTCCCCTCCCCCAAGATTTGGTTGATTGATTGCTCCTCTTGAGAGAAAGACATGATGATGTCACACTGACAGTAGAAGTCCATTTAAAGGGGTTTGTCACTTTCCTTCTTCAGGTGGCTAGGATAAAAAAAGAGGAACAAGGTGAGAGTGAAAGGGAAAAAGGTAATTTACTACATTCCCCTGCCTTTGTTCATCTAGACCCACACAACACTGCCGGCTTGGGAAGTTCTGTAGATCCTTGAAGTAGGAGATACAACTGCAAACGTACAACATTGCACCTCTTTCCCAGTGTGCCTCCCCATGCACTTGTGAATGCCTTGCCTGGTAAAACCATCAAACCCTTATAAATGTTTTGTATTTTGGCAGGGGTGTTGGTTAGTCATAACCGCATTGACATGTGTGAAACACATGTAAGTTATCTCCCCAGTCGGAGGGGAGGAGCTGAGACCTCACGAGGGATTAGCCACTGAATATCCACTTGCCAAGTATGACTGTCCTGGTGGCCAGCCCACAGCTGTGTCCCATGGCAAAGCATCCCTGTTCCCGGTGCGGGCTTGGGCACAGTCACCCGCTCCAAGGGCAGTGCTTCTCTGTTCCCACTGCCTGTGCCAGCCCCACACGCGGGCTTGGGCCTGGAGGCGTTCTTGTGAGGAGAGAGCAGCTCCACGCACCTGTAGTAGTCCTCCTGCGTGGGGAGCGGCACGCCGTGCAGAGGGTGGTGGGCATGGAGCCACTGCTGCTGCTCCAGAGCCAGGCGCTGCAGCTCAGCCGACTGCGCGTGCATGGCCTGCAGCTGGTGTGCCGCCGACATGGGCGCCGAGAGGGAGCCCGGCAGGTCCCTGTAGGGTGCGGCTGCAGCCAAAGGTGACACAGAGAAGAGCCAAGTTAATGCCCCATCCAAGGCCCCCGCAGCTCAGTCAAGACCCTGCTGCGCTCCCATTCCCATCCCTGCCCACGTGCAGGACCTGCTCATCCTGACAGCGTGGGCCTGCCCTATGCTCTGTTTAACAGAACTCAGTTTGGTCCTGTGACCCGTCAGGACGCCCCTGCCCCTCAGAACTCTGCTGATGCTCTTTGGAGGAGAACAGCAGTCCCTGTGATTTTCCTTACCAAAAAGCTGGTGGCGCAGCACTTCATTCTCATGTAGAGGGTGAGGCAGGAGAGGGTTGGGGATGGTTCCAGCTGGGTATGGTATCCGGGTGAGGTGTGATCCCGAGGCGAGGGGGTCGATTAGAGGGTGAACCGAGGCTGAGGCTGGGAAGAAAAGATACCACAAGATAATTGTCCCAGTTTTTGTAGTAGGTAACACAGAGACAGGCACAGGGCCACACAAAACAGATATGGAGAGAGAGGGTCAGAGTGTCTTAGGGATAGGATGATTTCACAGCTAAACAACACTGTGTCATCTCCTTCTGACTGTTACTCTTTTTGCCACGTGAACCAGTCTGGCAGAGCTCTGTCCCTACACACCTCAGGAAGAAATGCTGCTCCTTAGAAGTACAGCTTCTTAAAAGTTCAGTAGGCTTCTACAAGGACCTGCTCTGCAATCAGGTCTGCACCCCTATCATGCCTAGCTGTCACCCTGACAGCCATTCACGTGCACACTTGTACTGGGTGCTTTCTTTTCCAGGTCTTATCCAGGACAGATTCTCTTTCTAGTGGTTTGGACTCACAGCCAGAATAAGGTGCCCAGCCACGGATTGGAGGGAAAATGGACATTCATTTTTACCTTGTGCCATCTCTGAGCAGTTGCAGCTGCTCAGAGCCAGCGCCTGTGACTGCTACCAGACCCCACTGACTGTTCACAGCCCCTGAGCAGGCACAGCACGATTTTCTTATTGCACTGTAGCTTGGGCTTTGCCTCCCTGATATTTTCATCCCTAAACCTTTTACTTTGCTTTCCTGTAGGATGTCGAAATGGAAAGGACCACCATTCAATTTGGAAAAACAGCAGCCTCCAGTTCCTTACAATTAGCCCACCTCCTTTCTCATCCCATCCCACTATCTGCAGCCATAGGAGCAAACCTAAGAACCAACATTTCGTCAGTCCTAAGGACACTGCCAAATCTGTTCTCACAGGGCTCCCGCTCCCTCTGCAGACTCCAGTCTAAGGAATGCAGCTCACAGCAGCACCACCCAGGCAGTCAGTGGGACTCCGGCCCTTGTACTGCGGCCCCAGAGATCCAGAACAAAAGGACACAGTGCAAACAATTTTGCTGGCCACTGATCAGTAGAGTCAATGCCTTTGGTGCGATGGGAGTGGGGGCAAGGAAAAATGACCATGATGTTTGGCTCTTCTGGCTGAAGATCTATGGCCTCAAAGTTTAGTCTCGTCAGCTTTTAGGGTTCCCCAGAGCCAGAGGGAAGGAGCGCAAGGAAGGCACAGGAAGACAGAAATCAGGGCTCTGTACAGGGCACCACCACCATGCGGCCCTTACCTGCGTGTATGGCATCCTGCTGGTGGAGATGGAGGTGGGAGTGGATGTGGGAATGCTGATGATGATGAGGTGTCACATTGAGCATCTGCAGCCGGGCCAGAGGGTCATTGCTGAGAGCAGCCACCCGCTCGGCGTGCTGGCGTTCAGCCGCCAAGCGCTCGGCGTAGGACATGTCTGGACGAAGGGTCGGGCCAGCTGCCAGCGCCAGCCTCTCCCGCTCCAAGTGGCCCAGCCCTGGGTGGAAGGGAAAAGCGGGATGAAGGCCGGGGGCCGTCTGCAGACTCAGCCCGCCGTGGCGTGGGAACGGATCCATGGCAGCAGCTGGCACGGCATGGAGCTGCTCCAACTCGGCCGGTTTGACTTCAAAGCCAGGCTTGAGACGTTCACGCAGGTCCCGGTCCCTCAGGTCTCGTTCGCGGGCCTCCCGCTCCCGCAGCTCCCGCTCCCGCGTGGCTGGATCGCTGCTGTAGATGGCTGGCACGTTGTAGCCCAGCAGGCCCGGGTCGACGGCGCCCAGGGGCACGTAGAAAGGGTGGTTGCGGTTGCTGGGGGACATGACGTGGGGCCGGGCATACTCGCTAAGGGTGCGCAGAGCCGGGGTGTCAGGGCCCAGGTATGGGGGAACAGTCGCTACAGCACTGCCCTGCTCGAAGGAGGGGCGGTGGGGAACCGGCCCGAGGGACGAACACTCGACCGGACGGCCCTCCTGGGCCATCTTCTGCAAAAGAGCAGAGAGACTGGCTTCAGGGTCCCAGCGGGGAGAGGCCGAGGGGGCCCTTGAGCATCCGCCCCGGCTGCGCTGCGGCAGTGGGACCCCTACACCTACCACACTCCTCTCCAGCTCCCGTTCCTTCTCCCGCTCCCGCTCCTTCTCCCGCTCCCGTTCCCGTTCCCGCTCCTTCTCTTCACGGGCCTTTTGCTCAGCCTCTCGACGCACTTTCTCCACCAAGTCTGCTCTTTTCTTGGCCAGCTTGGAGCCATCAAGGGGCACAAAGTACAGGTCTGTGCGGGAGCAGGAGTTGAAGCCACGGTCCAGGTGCTTGTTGAATCTGGGGATGAGAGGTGAAGCCTATCAGTGCTGGCAGGGCTTGTGAGCAGGGATGGGGACACTGTGGGACAGGCACCGTGGGAATGTGCAGGACATGAAAAACACGAAAGGGAGTAGCTGCACCTCAGGTTTGGGGTGATTTCCTTTTCCCTGCTCCATACATCCCTCCCCATCCTTTGGAGAAACCAGTCTCAACCTCACCTGGCTGACTGGCTGGCGTGGCTGGGCACATCCACCACCTTGGGGGGCGGCGAGGGGCTGCGGGCAGGCGGCACGGGGCTCTCCGGGGGCTCGTACTCCTCCGACGGCTCCTGCTTGATCTGAGCAGCGCTGAGGGGGAGCGGGGGTGGCGGCGGGGCCGGGGCAGCCATGCTCCCTGGCAAGGGTGGTGGGGCAGAGGGGGCAG